TTTCGGCTTACTCACGTGGTAATTTGACGAGGAACTCGACTAGTTTCAAGCCATACTAGAGGCTCATATTCATGAGCAGCATTCCGCGACCCGCGACGCGGCGATTGTCGCGCAGCTACTGGGAGTAAGAAGAAATCTCGTTAAATTATTACGTGAGTAAGCCGAAAACATAATAATTTATTTAGTTATTAGTCTTTTCATGCTGTTCGTCAGTTAAGGGTACTTTTAATTTGACCATTCTTCATATCACCAAACTGCACGAGATATCCCGTCCAGGACGCCATCTACCGACGGTCCCAATTATGTTCACTCTGTATACTCCTTTCGTAAATTTACTTTCATCCATCCGTTCTACATGTCCAAACCAAATATTATTATAAAAAAAAAACAGTCAAATAAGAGGAATTCAATATAGTAAGCTATCACTTTCAAGTTGAAGGTATTAGCATGAATATAAATAATTGTATGATAATAATATTGCACGAATATATTCTTTAAGAGAATTTATATAGAATGGGTAAAGAATTAATATTTTCTTTTACAAGATAATATATCTTTACTAGTCTGATTTCATATAAAAACTCACTGAAAATGCTAAAGAAAATCATAATATTGGTTTCAATACTAAGAACCAATATTAATTGAGAATAATAACTCAAGAACTTTAACAATAGCGGAGCATTTTATTTCAATGTACCAACAAAAATTAATCTCGGACAATATTAAAAAATATAAATCGTCTCAAGAAAAAAAAAACAACACTTTTGTCAGAATACCAATGTGGTTCGACAAAAAAGTTCCAATTTGTATTTTCTAATATGGCCACCGAATCTTTTGATGTCCGATGATTTCCGAACTCCAACGATTCCCATCGGACTTCAACCTTGGGATTAGACGCAATCCTGTATCGGGATTCGGGATTAACAAGACCTTCAAATCAACCTTTGATTTCGGTCCAATATTGAACTATCAGTTTGTTTTCCAATTGCGAAAAGCTTTGCCCATCATTGCTTGTAATTGGAATTATTTGTACGTTTTCCTTATATTTTGATTTTGTGATTTCTGTTTCGGGATTTTCGGAAACCTCTGTATTTGGGTGCTTACTTCAAATGAATTAATTGGTCTTTATCTATTGCGAAAGATAAATATATAAAACTCTGTAAAATGATAATTATATTATCATTTTTTAACGTATATTTTACTATAAATACATTGTAAATATAAAATGGAAGTGGTAGTTTTTACACAGTGCTTGTCTCATTAAGATAACAAATTAAAATTATTGAAGATAAAAGACAAAACTAAAAATAAAAATAAAATTGTGCAAAAAAGGAGTTTTTAGTTATAGTATTGTTAGAAGAATAGACAAAAAAAACGAAACGTCATTACGAAGCGGGTAAATGTAATCTGTGGTTTGAAAAATGAAAAAGTCAAGATGGCGGGAACTCGGAACTTATTGAGACGGCGTATTTGGTGTTGAGGGAATTTTAATCTATTTGAAAGTCAATTTGCCTATTTATGTGTTGTTGTTGTTTTTCTCTCCAATTAATAGTTATGGTTTAGCTAGTCCTGATTTGTAAATTGATTTCGATGTTAACAATGTAAGGTGCATTGTAATGGTGGTACTCTTTATTTTTCCTGCCTTCTGAATCTACTAAAATCTAAAACCAATAAGTTTCTAATATCAAAGAATAAGGTAAACATTATGACAGTTAATTTTTCTAATAGTATTTAGAATGTAGATGAGGATTAATTGAAACAATTGTGGTAAAACTTTAACTTTAATGTTATATATAATTTACAACGATATAGTGTTTTTATTGTTTAAGATAAATTGCAGCGCCCTTACAGGGTTACTAGTGCTTAAAGCAATATATATTTTGAATTTGAATTTCAAAATCAAAACTTTCTAAATTCAATCCAATACATCTTTCTTAATCTCACTTCCTAAAAACCTAAATCAGGTAAACAACCATCACACAATATTTTTACATCTCTTAAGCTTAAACCAACCACAATCTAAAACATCTAGGGCACAAGTAATAACTCGATTCGCCGCATCTAAGAGAAATTTTTCACAAGAATTAGTCTCGTGTTCACATTCTCCACTCAGGAGACCGCAAATTCACATATTGTAATCCATTTTGCATCACATTTCCTTTCCTCCGTGCGTTTCTTGAATAAACCAATCTCCTCCGATATTTGCTTTATGTTATAAAGTGATGTGTGTTTGCATAAGAGTGGGGCACACTGTGACCTTGTGTTATAGAGGGCGCTTTTGTAACCGTAAAGTACAATTAATTGTACAGTTAATTGTATAGTTACGATAGAACTTTCGGGACATAATTTTTATTAACTGTGTACATATTTGTGCAGTCAGAAATCAATAAATTTACCTATCACAATATAACAGAGTAAAAAATATATTTTTATGGCATACGCAAATTTTACCACTTTTATTAATAAATCTCACTGTAATAGCTTTAGTCAAACAGGCACAATATTATACTCTGTGAAGTAATGCAATAATATCAGTGTAACCTTTTTCGTAACATAACATCACACATTTTATCCCCCCACATTTTATGCCACTGTACAATGTCATCATCATAACATCATAACATCACGCCTTTTTATCTGCGAAGGGGTAGGCAGGGGTACGCATTATGCCACTGTACAATGTAACACCCACTTTTCACTATTTATTTTATGAGTCCCATGTAATAGGGGGTAAGCCTATTGCCATATCCCGGGCACAATTCCAGACTCCGTGCTACTTCTGAGATTTTTTTAAAAACCTCAATAATACTTTGCCCGACCCGGGAATCGAACCCGAGACCCCTTGCACGGCAGTCGCACTTGCGACCACTCGGCCAATGAGGCAATCACCTCATTTGTACTCACTTTTAAAAGTGTTTAAACCAAATTACAGTTTCACAAGATAATTCTGATCAAATTACCATTCTTAACAAAGTCAGAACACACATCTGCGTATAAGACATCATGTGCGCTCACCTTAAATGTGGCTCAAAAAAGTTAACGCGCATTACTTTCGTCTTCACAGGCTTTTATCGTGTTAAAAGGATGTCACTTAATTTCGTTCTACGCAATTTACATGTACTGCGAGTATGAAAAGCGTACAATGAAAAATATAACGGTATATATTTTGTTCTAGGTGAGGGTAGGCAGAAGTGCACGTAATATGGTGTAACGCGTGGTTTTAAGTGTGGGAGAGCCATGCTTCGGCACGAATGGGCCGGTTCGACCGAAGTGATACCACGGCCTCACAGAAAACCGACGTGAAACAACGCTCGCGTTGTGTTTCTGTTTCGTCGTGTAAGTGAGGTTACCGGAGGCCCAATTACCCCTAGTCTTCTGAATCCCCGAATACACCACAATATTCAAATTCCCAATACCCAAAAGGTCGGTAACGCACTTGTAACGCCTTGGTGTTTCGGGTGTCCATGGGCGGCGCCGATTGCATACCATCAGGTAATCCGTCTGCTCGTTTACCGGCTTATGCTATAAAAACACCATTTTTTTTTTTTTTTTTTTTTTTTTTTTTTTTTTTTTTTTTTAAGGGGGGAAAATCATCGAATGACTGCTCCCGCCTGGGTGAGGCGGAAGGGAGTGTCAGACTCTTACTGACTAAAAACCACCCCGTTCCTTCTCCTGCACGTCGAGCCGGAGCCCCGGTTACCCGTTAGGTTCTCCGCGACTCCGAATCGGCATCGGCCCTATTGGGCCCCATCTGTGGTGGTCTGATGGCTCTTTGAGGCGCGCGCGGAACGCGACGCGCCGTACGCTCGGGTCTGTTTCTGGTCGGACGGGGAGCCACCCATGCTCGCCGTCCGCAGGCCCGCGCTTACGGTGGCCGGAGATCGTCCCGCGAAAAAAAAAACACCCTATTCTCCAGTTATATTAAACAAAAACAAGTGAAACAAGTGGCACTTTTGAAACGTCAAAAATTGTCATTGTTCGCCTGTCTGTCATTGAAGCTAGGCGCTCGTTCCAAAGTGTAGGTAGTCTCGAATGGAGAAAAACGAGCAACAAGAAACTCCATGGTTACTCTTTTAAACATAAATATAGTATTTCAAATACCTTAATTAATAATTACTATTGCATACCTACTATCTTTCACTATGTTTAAAAATACAATAATATAGGTATGCTATGACGTCACAGTACAACACTAAAATAAGAAAAGTGCAAGTCATCAAAAGTTTAGATGCAGATAATACGGCCAGTTTTGATTGTACGACAAAACTTAGTACCTATATAAGCCCTATTCGTAATATCAAGGGACACATGTTTCCAAAAACATGAAAATTCTCCATTATATGGCAATAGGCTCACCCCCTATTACATGGGACTCATAGCATAAATAGTGAAAAGTGAGTGTTACATTGTACAGTGGCCTTAAGTGCCGAAGTGTGCATCTCTGCCTACCCTAAAAAGGCGTGATGTTATTACATTAAATTATTCATATATGGATATCAATATATCACATAAATAAAAAAAAATGACACAATTGATGTTCAGCACAGTAATTTTTTTTTCTACAAAACTATATTGTGTACCGAGCCTTATATGACATGAAAGTCACTGGTGAACCTGTTACCACTTTAATTAAAGATAAAAGGCCAATATTGGAGGGCGAGCGAGTGGTCACAGCGGCTTACAAAGTAAAAAGTAACACCCTTTATAGGTGACATTGTTTTTACTTTAGATGACGGGTCAGTATTAAACGATTGATGGTTTTAACTGACTTCAAAAAGAAAAAAGAAGGGTCTCAGTTTTATCATTTTTTTTATGGCATAAGCCGGTGAACGAGCAGACGGGTCACCTGATGGTAAGCAATCGGCGTCGCCCATGGACACAACACCATAGGCATTACAAGTGCGTCACCGGCTTTTTGGGGATTAGAAGTTTGGGGATCGTTGGGAATTCAGGGATTGGGGAGATTGGGGAAGGGGAAGGTAATTGAGCCTCCGGTAACCTCACTTACACGACGAAACACAACGCAAGCGTTGCTTCACGTCGGTTGTCTGTGAGGCCGTGGTATCACTCCGGTCGAGCCGGCCCATTCGTGCCGCAGCATGGCTCTCCCACACTTAAACATTAAACTATTCATGTTGTAAGTATGCTTTTATATAGTTCATAAAAATAATTATAATTAAAATTACTTTCTAGGATTTCAGATTTTCAAATGTTGTAATTTTTTTTCAAATTATTATTATAGAACTACGAAACGGAAGTTCCGTGATTTCCGTGAAGTAAAATGAACAAAATTATATCCTTACATATTGATTGATATTTATGTACACACGGCCACACATCAATCTATACAAAACCAGTTTATCCTGGTGTCGCGTCGCATCATCTTTCCGCACATTTAACGTTCAGTTTATACTGGTTATGTAAAGCTCGATGTGTAGCCGTGTGTACATCTCTAAAAATCACACCTACATTTGTGTTGTATTTCACCTGACAAGTTTTTGGAGGTCCCACTATCTTTTATCATCAGAAAATACCTCTAACTATTCGTTTGTCCTTCGTCTTTCTATGCCACCATCCCATAAACGATACATACTTGTAGCTTGTTTGAAATTAAACTATTTCTAAATACTATACTTTGTCCACTTTCGAGTTAAATAGTAATTCTACTAAATTAGACACTAAACAGTTAAAAAGTTTGTATATAAGGTCCAATTTTCTTTGCTTAAACAAACGTGTATGTTATTAAAAAAGTCCGTACAATGTACAAAGTTGTATTACTTAGTGGAATCGTCCAGTGACGTCACGCGGTCAGGTCAGTGACTGGCCAGTGGGCAGCGTATCTATGTATTGTAGAGCTGTAGTTACAACTACATATGTACACCGTTTAATGAGAATACAGTAATGAATAACTCGTTAAAAAAAAAAAAGCCTGCCTCGTTGGCCGAATGGTCGCAACTGCGACTACCGGGCAAGGGGTCTCGGGTTCGATTCCCGGGTCAGGCAAAGTATTATTGGATTGTTTCAAAGAATCTCAGTAGCATCACGGAGCCTGGAATTGTGCCCGATATATGGCAATAGGCTCCATCCATAGGCTCTCCATAATGGGGGTCCATTACGTGGGACTCATAACATAAATAGTGAAAAGTGGGTGTTACATTGTACAGTGGCATTAAGGTTACACTAGTCGATATTTTTTCCATAGAAAGTTCGGGGTGGTATTACTCCACAGTGTGAATTTGTATCTCCAAAATTAAACACGACAACGTTTTATCTTGTAATTATATTTGTCGGTACGGAAACAAAAAAAAAATAAAAAATAACGATTAAAAAGTTATGAGCCACCAAAGTTTTGTTTTTCATGACAATTTTGACGCAACTTTGGGTGTTAAAAAGTACCACTAATCGTGTAAAATCTCCAAAACGTAGACCGTACCGACACAGCACAATTACCAGAGAGTTCTATAAAATTTATTTCAAATTGATCTAAACAGTGGTTTTCTCAAAAATCGCTATTTTCTAAAGCACTAAATCGTACTTTTATACGCACCCGTTTTACGATGAATTATCGTGCATTTCATTTGATAAAATTCCCCCGGCAGCGGCGCGGGGCGGAGGGAAGACGCTCACGCGTTTTTGCACAATTTTTTGCACGACAGCGCGTGTCGTGCAAACCATTAGACTATTTTCTATTGTTTTTAACCGACTTCAAAAAGGAGGAGGTTATACGTTCGGCCGGTATGTTGCTTTTTTTTTGTATGTATGTACGCGCATAACTCTGAGATGCGTGAAGCGATTTGCAAAATTTTTGTTTTGTTGGAAAGGGTATACTCCCAAGATGGTCCCATTTCCATGAGGTCAGGATCTGATGATGGGATCCTAGGGAAACCGAGGGGAACTTTCTAAAATTATATGGGCGAGTGATGCGTCTATTATGTTTTTCAATTAGGATTTTTAAACACTACAATTTGATAAGGGTCTGGAGTCGACCTGGTGATGGAGCCGATAGACAGTCGAGGGAACTTCTCAGCGGTTTATACTAACTACCTTGTGATTGGGCTTGATTAATTTGTATTGATGAGGACTTTACACCTAGATAGAGTGGGGCTGTCATTAAAGGTCTGATGATGAAGAAGTGTAATTGCTAAGGGAACTCCTCAACGGTATACAGTAACTACCTTGTGTTTGGGCTTGATTAATTTGTATTGATGAGGACTTTACACCTAGATAGAGTAGGGCTGTCATTAAGGGTCTGATGATGAAGAAGTGTAATTGTTAAGGGAACTCCTCAACGGTATACTGTAACTACCTTGTGTTTAGGCTTGTATAATTTGTATTGATTAGAACTTTGCACCTATGTAGATTATAAGTAACAAAACGGGTATATGTAGCTTTACACTGAAAATGATAAAATAATAAAATAAAAACTGCGTTTAAAAAACCGACTTCAAAAAACCAAAAACTAATAACAAACAAAAATTCAAAACTAAAAAGCAAAAAATAACTATTATTAGTACTGATAGGTTACCCACCCACTGATAGGTTAGAAGTCGGTGCCATAAGCTCATATCATAATGATATAACTGTCCACAAAATTGTGAATTAGGTACCTATTAAGGTTTTAATGAATAATTTTGTATGGAACTTATGGCACCGACTTCTTACCTATCAGTGGGTGGGTAACCCATCAGTACTAATAATAGTTATTTTTTGCTTTTTAGTTTCAATGTTCAATTCGGCTGTACCGAATTGATATTTTACTAGCAGGTACACTACGTTTACGTACCTACGGTACCTATGCTTTTTTAGCCATCCTTCCTAAATAATACCTAAGTAATAATAATATAATAATAATATTCCACAATATCACACAACTCTGTACCTACGCTGTCCAGTCCCAAACTAAGCAGAGCTTGTGTTATGTGTAGGTACCTACTAGACAACAGATATACATAGGTACTTAGAGGTATATTTCTAAATATTTCCATATTATTATAATTAGATAAAAACACCCAGACAGAAGAAATGATCATGCTTATTATAAATCAAACTTTACCTCTTTAGGCTCTTTATAATAAATTGTTGTAGATTACCGCAAGTAGGAATATTGATAATATCAACGGGCAACCGCCAAGCCGAATGTTTTCGCACAAAATACATAGGTACAGAAGTCAATCTCATGTAGGTATGTACCTGCTTCACTGTTTATACCTACGTGCTCGAGCGCGCTTTGTATGTAGTTTATTTATTTATTTATTTATTTGGACATCCAGTTGTTGCTACATTTTTATCATTAACTTAAAACTAGGAATTAACATCTTACTGCTAATGCACAACATTTGAAGGATATCACAGCATGCGTTGAGTTGAGAACACTATATCAATTAAATTTAATTTACCTAATTTCTCTGCATTACCAAATTTGCAATAAATTAGAAATTATATAATTAGTAACAACTTTTGTTATTACTCATTATACATACAATAGTCAACCCGGAATACAAAAATATAAATACAAAACAAAAGAAAACAAAAGAATAATCAAATATCAAAATAAAAGACAGTCATTAAAGGCTCAAAAAAAAATAAAAAAATTAACATTAAAATAAATATATAAAATCGGTTGCGAACAAATCAAGTCAACAGCAATATAATAACACAAAGTCAACAGCACACCACAACACTAAGCTTCATCTCTCAACAATCCCAGAACAGCTTTTTTGAATTTTGGCAATCTATCACTAAACAAATCAACCCTCTCACAGACAGAATTATAGGCTCTAGAAAGACGAGATATGGTGGAGAACCTCTTTAGGTTGGTTCTGGCAGATGGCTGGTGCAACAAACCCGCGTTAATTAGTGCGCGCCTAGGCACACGTCGAGGTACACGCAAATTGAATAAGCTTAATAGTGGCGGACAGTCAAATTCGCTCCTTAGTACCTTGTACATGAACGTTATGTCATGCAGTTTTCTACGAACAGTCAAGCGGTCCATCCCAAAATGTCTCAGTCTTTCGCTATACGATGCCAAGCGTTTGTGCAGCCCACTGGCAAATGTTAGGTGTCCTAGGAAACGTCTCTGTATGCGTTCAACTCTAACTTGATGCACATTATACTGAGGCGACCAAACCACCGAGCAATATTCCAGCTGACTTCGCACATAGCTGTTATATAAAGTAATTTTAGTGGTTGGGCTGCGAAATAGTTTGCTGTTACGTATAATAAACCCCAGCATTTTTGACGATTTATTAATAATACTGTCAATGTGGGGCAAGAACGTCAACTTCGAATCGAAGACCACGCCCAAGTCCCTCATCTCAGCTTTCCGCTGCAATGTAGTTCCATCGACGAGGTATTGACTCTGTATTATGTTGCGGTTACGCGTGAAAGTAACTGTGTAGCACTTGTTTGTATTCAATGACATTCTGTTTGCACTGCACCAGGTGGTTATGGCATCGAGATCTGTTTGAAGTAAGTTCCTGTCTGTGGGTTCAATCAGAGTTTTGCATATCTTTAGGTCATCTGCAAAAAGATAAGCACTACTGTGTCTAATACAAGAAACGATATCATTAATGAACAAGTTAAATAGCCAGGGACCAAGATGAGAACCCTGTGGAACACCTGAGGTAACAGCGTACGTTTGAGATTTAAATCCCTTTACCACAACATATTGCGTCCTGCCTGATAAATACGATTGGAACCACTTTAGCAGAGAACCATGAATACCGTAATATTCTAGTTTCGACAGTAACACCTGGTGACATACCCTGTCGAATGCCTTTGCAAAATCCATATAAACAGCATCTACCTGCACCCCCGAGTCAACCGCATTAACTATTTCGTTATGGTAAGTAACTAAATTGGTAGTTGTGGACCGCGACTGGATGAATCCGTGCTGCTCGTCAACAAATAAGTTTCTAGTATAATGCTTTAGGTAAGGATAAACTAAGGCCTCAAATGACTTCGCAAATACAGACAGAATCGATATGGGTCGGTAATTTGTAATATTTTCCTTATTCCCATTTTTGTGAATAGGGACTACCTTGGCAGACTTCCAAATTTCAGGAAATGCACCTGTCAACAAGGATTTATTCACAATGAGGTAAAAGGGCAAACTTAAAGATGAGGCACATCTTGATATAAAGTATGGAGGAATGCCATCCGGTCCCGCTCCCTTGCGTATGTTAAGACCCTTAAAGTGCCTGACGACCGCACCATACGCAAGTTGTATTTCACCCACAGTATTAGTGCTTGAGGTATTCTGAACGGGTGAAGCAGTATGGCAGGTGGATTCTACAAATGTGGAAGAAAAGTAGTTTGCAAATAGATTGCAAATTCCACAACCGTCGGACTCCACCGTATCGTTCAAAACCATAGTTTGGGGTATTTGAACTATATTACTGCACTTATCCTTTAAGTAGGAATAAAAGTATTTCGGATTAATTCTGATGTTATCTTCGACATTACCGACATAGTTACTGTAGCAAGTTGCAGTGAGCTTTTTACACCTTTTACTTAGAATCTTTAATGATATTTCATCCAATGGGTTTTTAAAAACTCTGAATTTATGCAATAATTTGTTCTTCTCTTTGATTAAGTTAACAAGTTTTTTGCTGAACCAGGGTGGATGCTTCCGCTGAACAGGTTTGGATTTAGGCACATATTTGTCTATATATCATTTAAAGTTGTATAAAATAATAATACCATATTGTTAACATCATTACATAAGTTAAATTTATTCTCCCAATTCACTTCACCCAGCTCCCTCATTATTTGCTTGTAATCTGCCCTATAAAAGTTATACTTTAGAGTGCTGTTGGTTTTTAAAGGTATGCCTTTCACAAGTTCCACCACTATTTCCAAAGGAATGTGATGCGAGTCAACCCTGACCAACGCAGACCCAGAAGCCCGAACGGTTACGCCCATCACATTGCTCAAAACCAAGTCCAAGGCTCTATTCGAAAAATTTGTAACATTACTATGCTGCGTGAGATTGTTAAGCGATACAAAATCAAGAAATGATTGAGCCATCGACGAATTCTGACAAATTCTAGGTTTATTGAATGTCTCGTTTGAGGCCTCGTTGGCTCGTTTGCGTTGCCTCGTTGGCCGAGTGGTCGCAAGTGCGACTGCCGGGCGAGGGGTCTCGGGTTCGATTCCCGGGTCGGGCAAAGTATTACTGGGTTTTAAAAAAATCTCAGTAGTAGCACGGAGTCTGGAGATGTGCCCGGTATATGGCAATAGGCTCACCCCCTATTACATGGGACTCATAACATAAATAGTGAAAAGTGGGTGTTACCTCTGTGTGCACCTCTGCCTACCCCTTCGGGGATAAAAGGCGTGATGTTATGTCGTTTGAGGCATCTGGCCACGAGATACAGCCCATATTAAAATCACCCATAAGACATATATTCTCCATGCCGACTGATACGGCAACGTGGCTGAAGTTGTCCATGAAATGTTCCAGGATATTTTTATTCAATGGAGGTGGAAGATATACAGCGCACAAGTGAATACTTTCCGTTTTAGTAATTTCTACCTTAACGTAAAGATCTTCGCAGAGACTTTCGCCCTGCATGTATCTTTTAGAATAAAATTTGTTAGAAATTGCTATCAGTACACCCCCACCCTCCTTACCCGCATGAAAGCCAGTACTTTCGCGGTCTCTTCTATAAACAGTGTAACGATTGTCAAATAGTTCCGTATCGAAAATTTTGCTGTTCAGCCACGTTTCCGTTAAAACAATGACATCATAATTAGAACACAAGATACCACAAAGAAAATCATGGGTTTTGGTACGCAGACCTCTGACATTTTGATAATATACATTTAGCTTTATACCAAAGAATTCTGTAAAATGTGTATTCAGATAATGCGCCAGTACAATCAGCGATACGTAAGGATTCAAAGTGATTATTTCAGTTTGTTCAATGTCTCTTGGTCCCGTATGTAAATGGACTCATCTTCCTCAGTCTTCCTCATGAACACACGACCCTGTTTAATCCAGACGAATTTATAACCTTTTTCTTTGGCAATCTGTCGCGCGGCTGCGTGGAGCTTCTTATTGGCAGGTGATAAATGTTCAACTACGTAAATTGGTAATTTCTTCCCCCCCATGCCAATGTGTGCAGTATTGAGCTTATCCTTAGGATGTACCTTATTGAAACTAATCGTCTTAGCCAGAAATGTGTCTCGGAGTCTGGGGGTAGCCAACCTAACAATGATTGAGCGGGGCCTCTTATCACCCCCATTGATCTTTGCTACACGGGTACAATGGTGTATATCGGATTCTTTTAAGTCACAGGATACCACCCTGGATAACTGAGTTATCATAGTTGGAAGATTTTCCTGTTTGTGCTCGGGGACACACTGGATCTCGAGGTTGTTAGAACGGTTATGCTGCTCAGTAACCTGTAGCCTCATCTGTAGATCCCGCACTGTATTAGTCAGCAGGACCATCTCCCTCTTCAGCTCTCCCAATGATTTTTCGTATCCAGCGATGACAGACTTGGTGGCTTCGTAGCTTTCATTTAAAAACGTTAAACTATTCTCCAGAGCAGCTATCTCCTGTCTCGTTGATTGAAACTCTGCCTTCACCATTTGTTTGAGAGTTTGATTAAGTTCTTGTGTCAAAGCTATTTTCATGACCCTAAATTCTTCTCTAATCATTTCCCTCACATCTTCCTTCCTGAAGGGCAATTTTGAGCTTGAGGATGGCGAAAGGGAAGTTTGTTCCTTGTCCCCACTGTTTGCTCGTCTCCTTTTATTCCTCGAAGAAATCCTCGGCTCTGTCAGGCTAACCTCCGTATTTACTTCACTGCTTTGGTTTAGGTTTGATTCGAATGCATTTTCATTTATATAAAGCGGTGTATCCGACGCCGGCTCCAAATGTGGTGACTGTTTTTGCTTTGCTAAAGGCATAGTGTCAATCCAAGCAACCAGATTCAGTGCAAAAGGTTGACTGTTATCGCAACGTTGCGACCGCAAGTGTTTAAGTTAACTGGTAGGCTTTTCACCACATTAGTGCTATCTGTCCAACATAAAGAGCTCTGTGCTTGAAGGAGTTGGCCGACTCAAATACAGGCAGATAGATTTTAATAACTTCAATAAAATGCGAATAAAATATTATTTAAACATTGAGTTCTCCGCCAGGGACTTTAGTTTGAGCAATACAGACTCTCTTATCTTCATAGAAATGTAATTCAAATATGATCAATTTACAAAAAGAATCACACGTTGTGGGAATCGAACTCATGACACTTTACATGCAAGTCTCGCATGCCAATGCTAACACCGTTCGGTCATTAATATACTGAGCGAAATAGTGTTACTTGTTATAAGCAAACCAAGCCGGTGCCAGTGGACCGTTCTAAACAATTTTGATTTACCCTCTCAAAGAGTTAGCACAAAAATGTTTGCAATTTTACGTGATAGTAGTACGTATACAAGATCTAACACCACTTTAGTGAATTAGTGAATTATACACCCTATACTCAATCGTTCCTGACTCAGCATCATCGCCAGAATCAACAATCACTACACAACACTGCGCCGTAGTGTGTACAATACCGTTCACAAACACCATCGACGCCCGCTGAGGAATGTTGAAATTTGTCCACTTATTCACAACGACTTATGGAGATAACACTTGCACCAGTAGTCCGCGATATACTTTCAGTGAATCGACGCAATTGGCAAACATTAATGCAGCAAACGATTTTTAAACATAAAAAAATATATGGTATAAAGTTGTGTAATGATTTTGATTTTTTTTAGTTATACCATAGAACTAACTAGGTACCTTTATATTTTGTGGCTATCGCGCTCCGTGAGAACTCGATTGGGGTTGTCAACTATACTTTTTATTACGTTTCTTACTTTATTTTTAGCAAGTAAACATACTTTTAGGTAATTACCTACTTTTACGAAAACTAAACAAATACAACAAATATTGTAGGTACCTATTAGGTTTAGTAGGTACATAAAGTTATTGGTACTTAGAAAAAAAAGTAACTGCTTACCTACAGAATTATATCCCTAGCCTTTCGTAGATTCATCGGATATTGTGTTATCAACTTTTCATAAAAAAAAAAACTCAGTAAGTACAATGCCCTGTGACAATATATAATTACTAAAATTCATGCGAGCATCATAAAATCGTAGCAGCGCGTACGACTTTACTACGAGTAAACACACACAGCACAGATATATGCACCGTTCAGTGACGTTTTGCTGTGTTTGTGTGCGTGCGAACAATACGTCGTGCAAATAGATAGCGTCTAACTGCTCATCACTGGTACTATTTCTGTCGCACACGATGTTAGATGAGACAGCGCGCTTTTTGGCCACGCCCTTGATTGAGTTCGAGCCCGCGACTAGTTTAACCTTAAGTTCCGTAATCTACACCTCTGCCTACCCCTTCGGGGATAAAAGGTGTGATGATGTTATGTTATGTAATTAATAAATGGTTATTTTATTGAGAGTTATTGATAAATTTTGTTTATAATAGAGTTTGATTGTTATTTATAAACTAGCTGACCCGGCAAACTTTATATCGACTCAATTTTTTTTCACCATTTTTTTTATGGCATTAGCCGGTAAACGAGCAGACGGATCACCTGATGGTAAGCAATCGGCGTCGCCCATTGACACCTGGAACACCAGAGGCGTTACAAGTGCGTTACCGGCCTTTTACCGTGATTAGGAGTTTGAGGATCGTTGGGGAGATTGGGGAAGGGGAGGGTAATTGGGCCTCCGGTAACCTCCCTCACACGACGAAACACAACGCAAGCGTTGCTTCACGTCGGTTTTCTGTAAGGCCGTGGTATCACTCCAGTGGAGCCGGCCCATTCGTGCCGATCAATTACATGTTTGGGTTTGTGTGTGTTAAGCCATGTTACAAAACTAGTTACAAGACGGCGGCGTGTAGTTCGCACTTACGGTTTTCCGTAATTTACAGAAAAATGAAAAATATTTAAGTAAAATTTTTTTTATTGATTCAGAGTCAGAATCGATAGCCGAGTTACCTCCTAGAAATGACGCGGCTTTATAACAACACCTTGTATAATCAAGTGCGATATATTTTACAAAATTACCATCTCGCTAAATAAACATTAATATCAAAATAATCTGGAATTCAGTACAAAAAATACACACATTTAAATTGCGTATTGGCAGTATCTGAGGAATTTATTTATATTTACAAAAACCTAAAGATTGACAAACATGTGTACTAATCAGTGAGCGTCATATGTTTTTGATGTGCGAAATGTTAAAACGAAATTAAATTGTCGTTTACTTTTTAGCAATTTGTAAGTGGACAAGAAAATCAATAATTATATTCGCTTAACTTATGAAATAAGCTGATATACGTGCAGAAGGATTACCTGATGGTAAGCAATCGGCGTCGCCCATGGACACATGAAACACCAGAGGCAAGAAGAGTGTTATCGGCCTTTTGGGGATTAGGAATTTGAGGATTGTTGGGTATTCGAAGATTGGGGAGATTGGGGAGGGTGGTAATTGGGCCTCCGGTAACCTCACCAACACGACCAAAAACAACACAAGTGTTGTTTCGCGTCGGGTTTCTGTGAGACTTTGGTATTACTCCGGTGGAGCTGACCCATTCATGCCAAAGCATGGCTCTCCCACACTTTAAGGCTCAACGATATTTATTATCTGTACGTAGTATCCATTTATAATATTGTAACTCATTTTTATCTTCGATTTCTAAAGTTAAGGTGAACTCTCAATAAAAGCACAGTTAACGCCAGTTCTTACAAATCCAATTGTATAGGAAACGAGTTTTTTCTCAATCACCGAGAAAATCGAAATAAGGTTTTCTGCATAAACTCTTGTGCTTTAACGATTTTATAACCTACTAGACTTGATTTGAACTCTGTGTGGCGAAAAAAGCCATTTACTCAGCAGTAAAATAGTTACTACAGCCTGATATTGATGTGAACAACTCCCAAATTCATACCTTCTGCCGTAAATTATACTTATAAGCCAGTAAACTACCATTAGTGCTATAAGGGGCATATTTTTATTTATTTTATTTTTTTTATTTATTTATTTATTTGTCTCAGGCATCTTGGCCCATAGTGAAATATACAATAAAATAATACAAATAATTCAGGTAGCAAATACTATACACACATATACATAATATTTAATTTTACTGCTTATTTTACACGAAGTATCGGAGTCGTGTGTCGCTCGGTGTCTGGTATCCGACCTCGAAATCGCCGGAACACTACACATTTCGGCCAAAATTCTTCCTTCATAAGAATCGACAGGTGATCGGTGGGCACCCTCACCACAAAGGAATTGAAGTTTGTATTATGCCGAGACTCCAACCGCTCGACTCTCATGACGCATTTGTATTTTACTCGGATGTACTCTACGATCTCCTCAATCTTTGTAGTGTAATGCAGCCGGGACACGTACAGCAGCGTCGTTGGTGTAGCAGGATGCAGCAGAAAATTAGGTTCAGTCTGTGTGGTGCCGCACTGGTTCCGACAAGTGGGTTACCTCTTCTTTCGCTTCTCCACCGTGATGAAACCATCCTCGTCGTAACCCCGTTGTTTCAAATCTTTGTGAACACGTTCACGAATCTGTTTTCCCCCTATTTGCTTATCCTGGGATTTACCAGGTTTGCTGTCAGCAGTAATATCGCATATGGCATAGCCCATAAGTGATGTCGCGGAGAACCTAACGGGTTACCGGGGCTCCGGTTTGAAGTGCAGGAGTAGAAAAGGCGTGGTTTTTAAACAGTAAGAGTCTGACACACCCTCCCGCCTCACCTAGACGGGAGAAGTCATTCGATAATTTCCCCCGCTTAAAAAAAACCATAAGTGATAGTGGTCACATTCATTTCAAACTAGCTACTTCCGCGCGGTTTCACTCGGTCTGTTCGGCGCCTATTAATCGTAACGTGATATTTTATAGCCTATAGCCTTCCTCAATAAATCGGCTATCCAACTCAGAAAGATTTTTTCAAATCGGACCAGTAATTTCGGATATTAACGCGTTCAAATAAACAAACAAAAAAAAAACTTCAAAGCTTTATAATATTAGTATAGATAATCTTAATTAGGCAATTTTGAAACGTCAAAATTGAATTATCCATCCGTCTGTCTGTTTGTCAGCTTACATAAACATGTTACATAATGCCCACCATTACAGGCAAACGCACATTGTAATTATTATTGTAACAACAGCTAAGGACAATCCATTACAACTTGCTTCCATTACGAGTGTGTAGGTAAAGTGATTAAGATATTAAACTAATGACTCCAGTCGTTACCTCCTCGCCGCCGCCGCCATGACACTTTCTTCTAAATGTCAGAAGACTGACAGGCGTCGTATTAGTGACACTAAAAGTGATTACACACTTAACAAGCACGGCTTCGACTCCGGCACGGCTACAATACGGCTTTTTTACTTTGGAAACAATACAAAAAGGCTGTAAACGCATCGTTGTCGGCACGCGGGCGGTGCGCTTACACCCGTTTTATATTAACATATATGTTGTAACGTCAGATATACGATTTAAAGTTCATATTTAAATGCCAATGACACTGCTGGGTTGGAGCTGTGCTGCAGTCGTGCTTGTTAGGTGTGTGATAAGCTTTATTCGTTTTTTTTATTGTTATCATTATCGTGTACCAATGACTGAATATTGTCGTTTTTTACCACTGTCTTATAACACATGTAGTTACAACCTACTTAGTGGCTATCTGATATATCTAAACTGCAACTTCCAATCAAGTTGCCAGTGTGGGGATTATGATGAACCCCGTTTCTGCCAAAGAAGTCCATAGTTCCAAAGAAGACTATCTCTACTTTGTTATTGATGATGATGATGATGAATGCCACGTTCGTAATGAAGTTGTAAGGATGCCTATTGAGCTGATGCC